TGTTTTCAGCTTGTAAAAGGGAGGCTTCACACAGTTTTTTTTTTTTTTTTTTTTTTTTTTTTTGAGACATAGTTTCAGTTTATCGCCCTCGGTAGAGTGCTATGGTGTCATAGCTCACAGCAACCCCCACCTCTTGGGCTGAACTGATTCTCTTGCCTCAGCCTCCCAAGCAGCTGGGACTACAGGTGGCTGCCACAACGCCTAGCTATTTTTTGTTGCAATTTGGCCAGGGTTGGCCCGCCACCCTCAGCATATGGGGCCAGCGCCCTACCCACTGAGCCACAGGCACTGCCCTACACAGCCTCCCAAGTAGCTGGGACTACAAGTGCCTGCTACAACACCTAGCTATTTTTTTTTGTTGAAATTTGGCCCGGGTTTGGCCCACCACCCTCAGAATATGGGGACAGTGCCCTACCCCCTGAGCCACAGGCACTGCCCTACACAGCCTCTTTTTTTTTTGCAATTTTTGGCCAGGGGCAGGTTTGAACCTGCCACCTCTGGTGTATGGGGCTGGTGTCCTACTCCTTTGAGCCACAGGTGCCTCCCACAGCCTCTATTTTTTTTTTTTTCCAGAGACACAGTCTCTATCTGTGCCCTTAGTAGAGTTCTGAGGCATCACAGCTCACAGCAACCTCAAACTCCTGGGCTTAAGTGATTCTCTTGCCTCAGCCTCGCCAGTTTGCAATCTCAAACTACAGGGGCCCTCCACAACGCCTGGCTAGTTTTTGGTTGTAGTTGTCATTGTTGTTTGGCAGGCCTGGGTTGGATTTGAACTTGCCAGCTCTGGTGTATGTGGTTGGCGCCTTAGCCACTTGAGCTACAGGCACTGAGCCAAAAAATTTTTAAGAATTATTTGTTTTGGGGCCAGGAACTTAAAACTAAAGAGAGGGAGATAGAGGTGACACTTTTTGTTTGTCTTTTGAGACAGAGTCTTTTTTTTTTTTGGAGACAGAGTCTCATTTTGTCACCCTTGGTAGAGTACCCTGGCATCATAGCTCACAGCAACTTCAAACTTGTGGGCTGTAGCACTTCTCTTGCCTCACCTCCCAAGTAGCTGGGACTACAGGTGCCTGCCACAATGCCTGGCTATTTTTAGAGACGGTGTCTTGCTCTTGTTCAGGCTTGTCTTGAACCTGTGAGCTTAGGCAATCCACCTGCCGTAGCACCCTAGAGTGTTAGGATTACAGGAGTTAGCCACTGTGCCCAGACTGAGACAAAGTCTTACTCTCACCCTGGGTAGAGTGCGATGGTGTCATAGCTTACAGCAACCTCTAACTCCTACGTTCCAGCTATCCTCTTGCCTCAGCATCTCAAGGAGCTGAGACGACAGGTGCCCACCACAATGTCTGGCTAGTTTTTCTATTTTTAGTAGAGATGGGGTCTTGATTTTGCTCAGGCTGTTCTCCAACTCCTGAGAGCTCAGGCAATCCACCTGCCTCACACTCCCAGAGTGCTGGGATTACAGGTGTGAGCCACCATGTCCCTGCCTGAGGCGACACTTTTGGTCTATCAAAGGTGCACACAACATCTCAGTAAAGTGAAAGGCCTTTTTTCTGAACTTAATTTTTTCTTTTGAGACAAAGTCTTGCTTATTTGCCCAGGCTTTTGTACAGTGGTATCATTATAGCTCACTACAACCTGCAAATGTGCTCAAGTATTCCTGCTTCAGCCTCCCGAGGAGCCGGGACTAAAGGTTCATACCAAAAGGCCCAGCTAATCTTTCTAGTTTTTGTACAGAGGGGTCTTTCTCCCTGTGTTGTCCAGGCTGGCCTCCAACTCATGGCCTTAAGCAGTCTTCTCACCCTGTCCTCCCAAAGTGCTGGAATTACACGTGTGAGCCACTGAACTTGGCCTGGCTAATGTTTTGAACTGAAGTGCTGGGGAGAGAGAATGTAGGAGCTCAGTACTAAGACCAGTGCTCCTGAACCAGAGTTCCTGGAGAAGTAGTCTAGAACTGTGGCCTCATACTTTTAGTGTTCATTCCATCAATAAACAGAGTTGAGTGTGTACACATGTTATATAAAGGTTTGTTTTAAATGGCTTGGGAGGCGCCTGTGGCTCAGTGAGTAAGGCGCCAGCCCCATATACCGAGGGTGGCGGGTTCAAACCCAGCCCCAGCCAAACTGCAAAAAAAAATAGCTGGGCGTTGTGGCGGGCGCCTGTAGTCCCAGCTACTTGGGAGGCTGAGGCAGAAGAATCGCCTAAGCCCAGGAGTTGGAGGT